GCACCGGCGGCGCAGGTTCCCCACCACGTCCACGGCCTTCGGCGGAACGGAGCTCCGCATGAGGACCGCGAGCTTCGAGGCGTCGCAGTCCGCCTGGGTGGTGGGTGTAGTTCTCGCCCAGGTCGTAGATAGACTTACACTGCAGCAGTTCGCCCAACACGCCCAGCGGGAGCGTCTCCGACGCGACGGGCGCAAGCGCGAACTGCAAGGTTGCTCTGGCATCGTAGCATGACATCCCGTCTTGCACGTCTGGGGCGTCAGCATCAAAAACACGGCGAGGATCCTCGGCATGAAGAACCCATCCTGGCGGGCAGCAGACCGAGGCGTTGAGAGACGCCACAGCCCCCTCGACCAGCGACTCGCTTCTGGCGCGCCAGCGCTGCTGCCAGGCAAGGCGGCTGGCGCCGCCTCGACTCTCCGCCGCCTGCCGAAGGCGGGGCGGTAGCGCATGCGGCCCGCCCCCGGCGACCATGAAGACGCCGCCCAGGGCGAGCGCCAAAAATGCCCCGGTGGTCGAGGCGAGGCTAGCCCTTGTCCTTGTCCTTCGGGCCCCCCCCCCTTGTCGTCGGGGCGGTTGCCACGTCGTTTGTCCTCCTCCTCCTGGTACAGGCGCTGCTGCTTCATCGGCCGCCGACTTCTGCTCCTCCGCCGGCCACCGCGCGAACTCCCCAGACAGCACGCCGATTGAGGAATCCAAGGTCGACATCACCATCAGGTCGGTCCCTCGGAAGTCGGGGTTCTTGGGGTTGCGCTTCGTCGCCTGATGCATCTGAAAGATAAGCCGACCGAGCAACTCCGCTGACGATAGCTGGCCCAGGTTCAGCTGGTCGAAGCTCAGCATGTGGCGAAGCACCGCGATCAGGTCCCTGTGCTTGAGCGCGACTGGGGAGTCTGGGTTCACCCCCGATGCCCGCGCCCAGAAGTCGTGGAACCCCGCGAGATCCTCCTTGGCAGCCCTGGCCGCCAGCAACACCTCGCGGATCGCTGAGGGCGCGGTCGCTGGGAAGGGCCAGTCCGCCGGTGCTTTGCCCGTCTCAAAAAACTGCATAAGCGCCAGCCCCTCGCGCATGGAGTGGTACCTCGCTCTGCCCACCTCGCGGTGGACTGAAAGCACTCGGGGGTCTCGCTCAGGACCAGATCGCTTCTCCTCCCGCCACTCGTCCAGGTCCGGGTCGCCGACTTTCTCCACGAAGGTCCAGAACGTCTCTCCGCCCTCCTCGACCTCCGCCAGACCGGCGGCGCCCCTCGCCTGGAGCCTCACCGGGTTCCTGGTGATGTCCGGCGGCACCGTCTGTCGCGAACTTCTCGTACGTCGTGTCCGCGAAGCGCCAGTCCGCCGCCAGCCAGCCGCCGGAGCCGCCCCCACTCCTGCTGGGGCGGCGCCCAGGACGTTGCCCAGCGCGTCCGCCTCCAGCCTCACCGTGGTGAGCTCGTCCTCCGTCAACGCGTCGGCGGCGTACAAGTTCCCTCGCACTCGGGCTGGCGCTGGGGCACGCCTCGGGACTGGCACCACGATATGGTCCGCTATGTTCACCACTACCACGTCCAGGTCTGGCGTCCAGCTCACCCAGCGCCCATCCGCGAGGCGCACCCGTAGCACACGTACGTGCCACCGGAAGTTGGCATCGTCCTCGAAGTTGATCGCCACCTGCGGTTCGGGGATGTCCAGGGCGAGGCGTGCCGCCGCAGCCGCCATACCTCCTCAGCAGCTCGTCTAGCGGCGGCGCGACCTCCACGCCAACGCCTCCCCTCCAAAGTCCCGCCCCGACGAGGCAGACGAGCGCGGCGAGCGCGGCGCCCCAGCGGGAGCTCCGACGCGGGAGCCGCGGCTGGCCGGCGCCTCCTCCAGCGCCGCGAGGCCGGGCCGCGGCCCCGGCTGCAAGGAGCTCCTCTGGCAGCCCCGCGCCCAGGCAGCGCCGGCGGCGAAGCCCACGATCGCCACGAGCCCGCTGCCCAATGTGGCTGAGAGCGTGAGCCCCGGCCGCTCCAGCCCGGCCTCGCGCGCCGGGCACTCCGCGCCCCTGCAGTCGCAGATGACTGCGGGGCAGGCCGGCGTCGTCGCCGGCTCGGGGCAGGCCGCACAGGTGAGCCGTGGCTCGCAGCGGCAGTCGGGGCAGGGCGGCGCGGCCGGCCGCACGACCCAGCCCCTGTATGGCAGAAGCGGCCAGCTGATGGGCGAAGCTGGCAGCGGAGGACAGAATCTCGTGAAACATCCACTGGATGGAAGGACTCGAGACAAAAGGCTGCAGAGGCACTTTCGTGAGGGTTGAAGGGTGCAAGCACTGTCTATACATGTATTGCTTTCTATATATACTGCGCAGCATACATTGCCAGAAACAGAAGATGTCGAGCCCACGCTGATTAACACCTGTATTCATCCCCAGATGGATAGATAGACAAACCGACAGACAGATAGATGGATATATAACTTGATCTCGTCGCCATATCTATGGCCCTGGAGTGGTGTACACGCCCTTTCTAGTCTAGGCCAATAGCGTGTTTACAGCATCCCAGGTCCCAAGACGAAACTGGCCAAGCGTGGTGGTGCACATGGGTGTTTCCTGCGGACGGCATGCAACCAGGCATCTGGCGGCTCCGCTTTGTTCGATGGCGCGGGTCCACAGGGTCCCCGAATCCCCGTCCCTCGGCTACACGTAAGAGTGAGCCTTGGCTAGCCCAACCTTTGGTGCGCGACTTTCGGGGGCGGCGGGGGTGCCAACTCCGAGCGCGCAATCCGCTTCAAGCCAACGGTGGGGTGATCCCTGTGGGCCAGCATCAGGGGTCACTCAGGCGAAGGATCCGTCTTGTGTGTAGCCGACTTCTGGGGGAGAAAGGATAGCCCAGAATCGAATCGATAAGTCGGATCGGCGATCGAATTGAATCGGATCGTCTGAAATCGGCAGCCAAGTCGGGAAAAGTCGGATCGGCGGACATCGGCAAGCTGGTACGCCTCCAAAAAGGAACCGGAACCCCAATCCGCCGACCCCTTGGGGTCACGGCGTGTGAGATGCTTCCCCCTCCTCAAACCCCTCCCCCAGGGGCCTGGTCCGGCCAGTTTGGAGGGGGGGGAGCAAATCCATCATCCGCACACTTGGAGCTCCAGGATGCCCCAAAACGAGCCAAAAAGGTTCCAAAGGTTCCCGGAACGGTCCAAGAAAGCTACGAATCGACGAAAGATCGCCCCAAAACGCCGAAGATTGCCTCCACACGGCTCCATAAGTCCCCAAGACGTTTGAAACAACTTTACGAGGCGCCCTAACGAGGCCCCCCAGAAGCAAAAATCGTCCCATTCACTTGGAAAAAACGTACATTTTCACCACATTCGCCCATTCGTCTTCCACGCGGCGCAAAACGGCCCAAGAAGCCTCCAAGATCGACCCTCGCCAATCCAAGAGGCTCCCAAAAAGGCTCCAAGACGGCGTCCGGGCGATCCACGAAGGCCCCAGAAACCATAGCAACGGCCCAGGAAAGCCGCAGGACGGTCCCAAGAGGGCTCCAAAACGGGGCAAGAGGGCCCCCAAAGTCTGCCCGGACGGCCCACGCGGGGGACGATTCGGTCCAACCCGCCCAAGATCGCCGCCAGACGGCCCCATGGGTGTCCAAAACGTTTGAAAACGCGACCACGAGACGCTCCAAGCAGGCCTCCAGAAGCAAGAACCGTCCCATTCACGAGGGAAAACGTACATTTTCACCACATTCGCTTCTTGGGCTTTCACGAGGCCCGTAACGGCCCAATAAACCTCCAAGATCGACCCCTGTCACCCGAAGAGGCTCCCAAGAAGGCTCCAAGACGGCTTCCGGGCGATCCACGAAGGCCCCAGAAACCATAGCAACGGCCCAGGAAAGCCGCAGGACGTTCCCAAGAGGGCTCCAAAATGGGGCAAGAGGGCTCCCAAAGGCTGTCTGGAGAGCCCACGCGGGGAACGATTCGGTCCAACCCGCTCAAGACTGCCTCCAGACAGCCTCATGGGTGTCCAAGACGTTTGCATACGCGACCACGAGTCGCTCCAAGCAGGCCTCAGGGAAAAACATGTTCAGCATAGTCGCTTCTTGGGCTTCCACGAGGCCCACAAAGGCCCAGTAAACCTCCAAGATCGACCTCTGGCACCCCAAGAGACTCTCCAAAAGGCTCCACGCCGACCTCCGGGCGCCCCACGAAGGCCCCAGAAACCATGGCAACGGCCCAGGGGAACGGCAGGACGGTCCTAAGAGGGCTCCAAAACGTGTCTAGGGGAGCCTCACAGGCTCTCTGGACAGGCCACGCGGGGGACGATTGCTGCCGCCCCAAGGGGTCGGCGGTGTGGCGTAAGCCAACGAATCAGAATCCCAAGTCGAATCGAATCGGAATCGGAAGCCATCGAAATCGAATCGAATCGAATCGGAGGAATCGAAACGAGCCCTGGTGGGGGGAGGGGGGCAATTTGTTCGTCCCAGCCTCCTTAATTAACGGCCCCAGGGCCCGACGCGCCTCCCGATGCCGAAGACTGCTCAAAACGTTGGATGCTTGCGTCAGCGGGTCAAGAGATCTGTCCCAGGACCCCTCCTGAGGTGCGTTCTCAACAGCATCGAATGTCGGGCATGTCCCTCACAGGGGGATTATGGACGAAAAGTGAAGAATAATCAGAGCATGCTCAAAAACAGCAAAGATACGAAAAAGCGCCCCCCCCCGACTATATCTTGACTAGTCTCGCGAATAGTCCTCCTGCAGGGGGACGTGCCCGACTTCACCAGAATCCCGAAGGGAGCCCAGCCGCACAAGAGCCTCGAGCCTCGAACCATCGGCGGTCTGGTCCCCAGCATGAGGGATGAACAAAACGCCCCTACCCGAGGTAACAAGTGCGTGGTTTGCAAACCTCCTGGGAGCTCCCAAAGGCCAGAGAGCCGCCAGGACGCCGCGCGACATGCGGGATACGCAGGGTTTACCCTGTCAGCCCACAGGAGGTTCAGCGCACTGCGCCTCGTAAACCAGGGTAGAGGCGTCTTTAAAGCCCTTGCAGAACCTCGGTGGCGTGGGCGTCGAACGCCCCGGAGATCTCCGCGGCGAGGGCCTCCGCGAGGTGCTGCCAGTGCGCCAGAACCTCGCGCTATGCTGCGCCCACCGTACTTAAGGACCACATCTCAGGAGTAACATTTGAGCACGGACCGACCGTACCGTACCGGCATTTTTATAGGCCCACCACGACATGTTTTCAGAACCCAAACATGTTCCAAGAACGAAAACCATGCTCTTAGAACATAAACCCGATGTGACAAAACAAGACAGTCCCAGACAGAGAAATGTTCTAAGAACATTTCACGGAAACCACAAAAAGTTCTTAGAACATTGCTTTGTAGGCAGGGCCTGTAGGCGAGCCAAGACGCTTCGCCACTGCTTGAAGCTTCGAGCACCCCGAAAAATATCGAAACGGTGTCAAACGAGTATCGCCTCCCAGAGCCCGACACGTGAAAACCCTTCAGCTTCGATACTTTCTTGGTGCTCGAAATTCTTTCTGCCGGTCAAAGCTAAAACAGGTTGGAACACCATCAACCTCGCGCAGCATCAGGCAATCGTCGATGGCCTGGTGTTGGCCCGTGCGGGCCCCGACCCTGTCCGCCGGCACGTGCCTGCTGTGCAACGTCTCCAGTCTCAGCTGCCCGCCTGTGCCATAGTCCTCTCCGTGCAGGCCTTTCAGCGTCCGGACAGGGTCGAAGCAGTGCAGGCTGAGCTGGCCGGACGAGCTCAGCTTCAGGTCGCAGAGCTCCTTGCCCAGCACGTAGTGGTCGAACTTGTCGCCGTTGTGGGCGATCATGGCCAGCCGCCCGGACTTCCCAGCGGCCCTCTTGAGGAAAGGCATGATCTCATCCTTCCACCTGTCCTCGAAGTGCGGCAGTCTCATGTCTTTGACAATCAGATCATGCCCGTGGTCCTCTGCGAACTCCCGCGCGGCCGGCGACCTCACCTCGTCCCACTCGAACTTCGGCCTGCACGACACGCGGAAGCGCTCGCCGGTCCGCAAGTCCACCGCCGCGAACTGGATGACCTGCGACCGCCTCTTCCAGACGATGTGCTCGGAGTGCTCGCACTCGAAGAGGCCCTTGCTCGCGTAGATCCCCCTCTCTGCGTCGTGGATCGCCTCGAGGTCGTAGATGACGGTGCCGAAGTCGACGGGCCAAGGCGCGCTGCAGGGGGCCCCCAGGAGCATGCTGACGGCACGCGGGCGCGCGCCGGGCGCAGCGGTGCCCTCGCTGCTGCGGGCATGTTTCTTGCCACCGCCCGTGAGCCATCTTCTCGCGGGCATGCCCGGCGCGACTCGGCCCTTGGCGCCGAAGCGGCCCGAGCCAAAATGGCTGCCGATCGCGAAACATACGGAGTTTGCGCATGTCTCTGGAAGCAGAATACATTTGTTATATTTATATATATATATATATATAGATGTATAGATGTATACAAAACTGCACTGACTCTTCGCGCCATGCACCTTGGTCCTTGAGGCCTTGCACACGATAGTTCGCGCCATCCCTGGTGGCTTTGGAAATTTGGCCCCTTCCCTACGGAGGTTTTCAGAATTCTTCGAAAGCTCGGGAGGTCCCTGGCCCTCCCCGTGCCTCTGGGCCCGGGGCTCCCGAAAGGCGCCGGGTGGAGGGCGAAAGATAGGAGGGAGGGAATCTCGGGGAGCGAGGAAAGGAAGAGGATGTGGGGGAGGACGAGTGGTAGAGCGGCAGAAGGAGGAGGATGAGGAGGAGGAGGAGGAGGAGGGGGACGGCGAAGAATGTTGCAGCCGGTTGCGGCAGGTCGCAATGGGGCACGCCAACGCAATTCATTCTTAGGGAATGCACCCAATCCTGGGTTCGCAGCAAATTTCTGGGATTGTGGTTGCGAGCCCGGGATTCAGCTCAGTTTGGTAGAACAAGCCGTGTGATATGTAACAAAAACAGCTAGTGAGACTTATAAGTCGATTGGGTGAACTTTTGTGAACTTGTGGCGAGTTGCATCCAGTTACGTTCAGTTATGCAGCTGCAAATACATACGCGGAAACACGAAATCATTGGTGTTACATTATATGTTAGCCAAGTCCGTCATCCCGTATAGTTGCCTTCCACCGAGACCCCATTCACTCCCATCGCCCCGTGTAGTCTCAGCAAAGGCTGGCCTTGCTAGTTTCGCAAAGTTCTGAAGGACTTCCTCGGACAGCGGCAAGATATCCGCGCCAGCGTGCATGACCTGCGATGTGGCAATCACGTTCGATGCGGACGGCAAGGCTACAAATGGCGTTGTCAAAACAAGGCCCGCGTGGAGGAGAAGAACGCAAAACCCTGCTACTGCTGCACTGACTGCAACCGCGTGTGGGGCCGAATCGAGAAGGTTCAGAAGACTAGGCGTGAACTCAAGGGTTGGGCCAGAGGAATGGGCAAGCACGAGAAGGCTGACTTGTTCAAAGATAACGTTGACACCCTGGGCCCCGTCTTGGCCGCCGTCATGGAGTCGAAAGTAACCAAGATTGATGAGCCGAAGTCGATGTCCGAGTCTGCGGAGTCTGACGAGTGGCTGGACGAGCACGACCTCATGGTCAAGTACGCGGGCCGAGAGCAGCAGGCCATCTCGATCATGAAGACAGCGGAGAGCAAGCATCACAAGCACCGCAACGTGACGCTGTACCAAGATGCGAAGCTCAAGAGCAGGTGGTCCACCAAGTACAAGCGCAAGACGGTCCACGCGACGAATCTTTCCACCGAGCGGAAGCTGAAGAAGCAGAAGGCGGCCAAACCTCCAGCTCCACCCAAGGCACCGAAACTGATCTCGGAGGCGACCAAGAAGAGGCTCGAAAGAAACATCGAACAGGCTCAGGGATACGCCGACTACATGACCTCAGTGCTCACGAAGGCGGCCGATGAGAAGTACAAGGACTACGCCGGGAAGAAATTCCTCGAGCAGGCGGAGACGGTCAAGAGGGCCATGCAGGCCATGATTGCCGAGGTGAACTTGGCGATCGAGCCAGGCTGGACGGGCCAGCCCGCCGAGATGGAGCAGCGCATGAAGGCAGCCATGGACAACGCCAAGACCTTGACCGACACACTTGAGCAACAGGTGAACGACGCGAACAAGGACATTGTTGGCGACGCCGAGGCCGCCCCTGAGGCTGCAGCGGCCTCGGCTGCCAGGCCGCCGAGGAGGCGCGCGAATGGCAAGAGGGACGTGGTGTGATAGCCATTGCGCGCAGAAGGCTTGCCTCGCGCAGCGTGAGTAATCCGCGCGTTTGCAGCAGCGAATGGGGGATTCGCTGCAAGCGCAAACACTAACTTTGGGGTGTCGACATGCCCAATGTGACTAAAAAACAAATCGCCCGCCTCCTCTCCGCCCTCCTCCATCAATCCTCCATTGCATTCCACATCCTACAGCATTCATCTTCCTTTGCCCTCCCTTCTTCCTTTTCTCCTCCCCCTCCGCCCCTGCGCGTGCTGGCAACTGCCAGCAGCAGGAGCACCACTGGAATTACCAGCCGCATGAGCACCACTGGAATTACCAGCAGAATGAACACAACAAGGAGGAGGATGATACCTCACGCGTGTTGGTCAAATGAGCCTTTACCCCCACCCCCACCCCGCTTCCTCCCCCATCAATCCTCATCCACTCCTCCGCCATTTTCGCACACGGTAGGCCCAGAGGATTGCCCTGGAAGGTCTTGTAAGCAAGGAGGCTTGCCCCAGCCCAGTCGCCGAGCCATGGCTGTCCTGATTAACTTCATCAACGCTCGAGCCCAACTGATGAAACTGACTTGAGGAGCGGCCTCTCGCGCGAGTCGACCGAAGACCAGAGGCTCTCTCATGAGGCCGCCGAGGTGATCGCTCGGCAGATTAAGAACGTGGCGAAGCTCAATTGCGATCAGGCGACGGAGGTCATGACGGCGATAACCTGCGACGCATTTTCGAGCGAGCAGGTCGCGCTCCTACGGGCCTCGGCAAACGAGAAGCTTGACCAGCAAAAGGGGAACAGCAACAACAGCAACACCGTGTTCCAGAATGTGACCGTGCCAGAAGTGTGGCTCCCGATGGCCCTCTGCGACAGCATGGCTAATCGTTCCCCGCTGGGGGGTCAGAGGGCGAAGTTGTTCAAGGTGCAGCAGCTCGCTGCATGTTTCGGCAGCGGTAACCTACTCCACCCTCTAGAGACGACCAATCGCGACATCACCGCGCTGGCGTTGCTCGACATACCCGACTGCGTGACCATCGCCGAGGGCGTCACCGACGTTGATACCGTCAAGGCGACCGTCAAGACCATCGCCGCGAACTGCACAGCGCAGCACGGCAAGCCAGATCACGACTTCGTATCGCCAGAGGCACTGGAGCGCAACCACAAGAAGAGTGGTTCGACGGCATGCTCGGGGATTCCAGGCCTGGCGACGAGGAGATCGACGCCGTGCGCTCGCCGCGGTGCGCGACCTCCTGGGCTGCAGGGTCACGAGGCACACGTCTACTGCGCAGGTGCTTGGTGGCCCCACATCGAGACAGCCAAACCATGACTAGGACACATAAACCATGACAAACCATGACAAACAAACAATGCCAAACAAACAAACAAACAAACAATCAAGCCATGACAAGACGAACAAGCAAACAAACCATGGCAGGACCACATCGAGACAGACATACAAACAAACCAGGACAACCAAGCCATGACGATGCTGATGATGGTGATGATGAGTTGTTCACGTCATGGTTTGTTTGCTGTATTGCGCCACTTTGATCTGAGGCTCTCCTTGTGCCCTCTTGGGGCCTCGAAGGCTTTCCAGCGCCGTCTCGGAGGGCCCCCAGGGGGCTGCAAGAGTTCCCCACAGGGCTCTAAGTGAGCCCCGAGCGGGCCCAAAGAGGTAGCGACACCTCCTTTCTCCCCTCCCCTCCTCGATGATGGGGGCCACCCAGAGGCGCCTGGGCAGCTCGGGCCTCGGCCTGCAGTCGGCCTCCTCAGGGGCCGACAGGCCCGTCCTCAGCTGACGCTGATGGACGTCGACCCGCACTATGGCCAGATCTATCAGCACTGGCCTCTGATGGCCCTGGAAGACGCCCCCAGGCCGCCCCGACATCTGGTTCAGGCACCTTCTCGCGCGACCATGGAGGTTGCCGCGCCGAGCTCTGGGGCCCAGGGCGCCCAGCAGCAGCTTGCTCGAATGGCCGCAACACCCGAGGCCCAGCCTGCGGCGAAGCCAGATGACGCAGCTGGGGCGCTGCCGGACGACGACGGGGCCGCCAAAGCAACCTCCGCCGCCGAGACGGTCAAGGCTCAGCTCGAGCGACTGAAGACGCTGCACAAGAACGGCGGTGGCGCTGGCGACGACCTGCAGCCAGATGGAGACGACGCGCACCACGTGAAGGCGAAGAGGGTGAGGGGCGGCAAGAAAACGAAGAAGGGGAGGAGTCCGACGAAGATCCCTGGGCTCGTCCTTAGCAGCGAAGAAACCAGCGGCGGCAACCGTCTCGAGGAAGCCAGCTGCGGCCCAGCGTTCGGGGCCCAGCGTGGGAGCAGGCCTGCCCAGGTGCTCGCTCGCATTTCCAGGGACGGGCAAGAGGCCATGCGATGACGCACGACAAGACGAGTGTACTTCTCGTCGAACAGGTATCGCCTCCTCGACGCGGGCGTGGACGCCTACTTCTCCTACCGCGTCGAGGCCCCCGCGCAGCTTGGCGCAACGCGGTCAAGGAGATTCTGCGCAGGAGAGCGGAAGTCTGAGATTGGAAAGGCTTGCCTTCCGATCAGTGGGCTGGCAACGCTCGCCGTTGCAATGCATCTCGATGCCAGGCTCGCGGGGGAGCGAAGCCTCGCGCAGGAGTTCAAGAGGGAAAAATCCTAAACGCCGTCGCCTCCTCCTGCTCCCTTCCTCCTCCCCTCCTCCTCCTCCTCCTCCTCCTCCTCCTCCTCCTCCTCCTCTGCCCAACTTGCTCTCAACTGTTTTAGAACGTGAGACGAGGGGTTCGACTCCTCCCCCTCCTCCTCCCCCTCATCTGGATCCTCTGGGTGCCCCCCCGCGGGCTCCTCTGGATGTTCCGGGTGCCCGGCGTGCGAGCCCAGCTTTGCGCTCAATATCTCGGGAGTGCATGGCGCCGCCGCCGCGGGCAGCGCGGCCGCCAACCACCTTAGACGAGCTGGTTGGATCCAGGCTGGATCCTGGTTGGATCCTGGTTGGATCCTGGTTGGATTCAGCAGGTTAGATCCAGGTTGGATCAGGGGTTGGATCCAAGGCTGGATCCAATCTGAATTCAACCAGCGTGTGTGATGACTTCGCATGTTTGCGAAGGTGCCGACGCC